CTAATTTTTTCTATATAGATTTTTAGTTGTCCAAGTAATTTCTTTCTATTTTTAGTAGAGACGGGGGTCTCGCTCTTGCTTAGGCTGGTCTCGAACTCCTGAGCTCAAACAATCCTCCCGCCTCGGCCTCCCAGAGTGCTAGGATTATACAGGCATGAGCCACTGTGCCTGACCACCCATTCTGTTTTATAGAATGAGGTGTTGCCTTTTTAAAAAAAGTTAGACTTGTTAAATAGATTAAATAAGTTATTGTGTTAACTTTCATATTTTAACTTATTATGGGAGTTTTCAAACACAAAATAAAACCATGAACTCCCAAATACTCTTCACCCAGCCTCAGCAACCATTAACTTTCTGTAGTCTTCATTTCATCTGTCACTCTACCCCATTACTTTTTCTAAGCTTACTTTTTATACTGACAGAGTCTTCAAATCATACCAGGTCCTTGGGAGAAAAATTAATGTTTAAGTGAGACCCCCCACCTCTACAAAAAAATTTTAAAAATTAGCCAGGTGTGGTGGCATGCGCCTGTAGTCCTAACTACTGGGGAGGCTGAGGCAGGACGATTGCCTGAGCCCGGGAGTTCGAGGCTGCATTGAGCAATGATGATGCCACTGCACTCCAGCCTCAGTGACAGAGTGAGACCCTGTCCCAAAAAACAAAAATATATTGAGGTTTAGCTTAATATTAACAAATTACCTTAAATCTCATTCTAATGAGAGCTTAATGGCTATAATCATTTGGTGCAAAAAATGGAAACGTTACAGTTGAGAAAATTTGAAATGTCTTTTGAAAACATTACTTAGAAGAAAAACATCAAATGTAGTTTAATCCGGGCGCAGTGGCATGTGCCTGTAGTCCCAACTACTAAAGAGGCTAAAGTGGGAGAATCTTTTGAGCCCCCAGGAGTTGAAGTCTAGCAGGGGCAACATAGTGAAATTCCATTCCCCGCCCCCAAAAAGTAGTTCGTTTTGGGTTTTTATTAATATTCAAATTTAGTGTTAAGGAAAATTTTTACAGTTTATGGATTAGGGACTGGGATGTCATAAACCTTTAATCCTTCTTTGGTGTTCTTTGTCAATTTATATAGAGATGGGAGACTTTGATTCCTCTTGTTTGTATCTTTCCTGAAAAGTTTGGTGGATTTGTTTTTGTACTTTGTAGAACTGGAATGGGTGACCTAGGATAATAAATAACTAAAGAAACTAGTTTTAACAGTGCATACAACTGTGTCAGAAAATTGAAGTTATATAACTAAAATTGTTTTTGAATTGTTTGAGGGACATAATTTTAAACCAATTTTTGTATTTGGGTACAATGTATACACATGTGCATGATCTCTTAAAAGCCCTAACAGGTATATAAATAAGAATTGAAAACCTGAGTTGAAAATTTTATAGGGAACAAAGTGAGGGAGGCAAAATTAGTTTCTTAAATTTAAGTATTAATTAACCTCCCCTCCTCTCCCTTTTTTTGGTTTACTTTATTACCTCTTAACAGCACTCTTATAAACTGCTGGGAAACTTGCTTCTTGAAGATCCATTAATGTATATTAGCTTATGCAAGGTTCTTAGTAACCCTACAGTACTATAATCTATAGAATTTTTTTAATATATATATTTTTAATTTCAGAATATTACAGGGGTACAAATTTGTTTAGGTTACATATATTGCCTTTGCCCTGCCCAAGCCAGAGCTAAATCTATGGAATTTTGTTTAACCTAGGACCATTCAATTTTCTTGTATAGAGAACAAAGACTTTTTGGGTCTGAGCGTGGTGGCTCGTGCCTGTAATCCTAGCACTTTGGGAGGCCAGGGCAAGAGAATTGCTTGAGTTCAGGAGTTCAAGACCAGCCTGAGCAAGAGTGAGACCCGGTCTCTACAAAAAATAGAAAAATTAACCAGGCATGGTGGTGCGTGCCTGTAGTCCCAGCTACTTGGGAGGCTGAGGCAAGGAGCCCAGGAATTTGAGGTTGCCAGTGAGCTATGGTGACCCCACTGCCCTCTAGCCTGGGCAACAGAGTAAGACCCTGTCTCAAAAAAAAACAAAGACTATTCGGGAGATGATGCCCCACAGTTTGCAATATGGCCCTTTTTGCCATTGATCATAATTTATTTTGGGGTTTATTTTAGATTTATATGAGAAAAATCAGGGGGCAGCAAACAGTGACCCCATGGCTCAACTCTGGTCACACCTTTTTGTTTACTTACATATTGTTTGTGTTTACTTTCCTGTTACAGTTGCAGAGTAGTTGGGACTGAGACTACATGCTCATAATGCTGAAGATATTTACTATTCTGGCCCTTACAGAAAAAGTTTATTAACTCCTAACCTAGTCTATAGAATAAGTTAGTTATTCCTTTAGTTCTTTTTAAAAATGTTAATGTCAAAATTGGCAAAAGAGCAAACTGTTTGAAAGAAAGCAGAATGGTGATTACGTGGTATTTACTGAATTATATTTCTTTTTTGTTTAGATGGAAATATTTCATTAAAATGTTAATATGTATTTTAATGAACAGCATATAACTTTGTTTCTCCTCCAGCTTTTTATACACATACATAAAATTCACTGTCTTAATCATTTTAAGTATACAGTTCAGTGGTACTAAGTACATTCTTGTTGTTACACAACCATCACCATCTTGTAAAACTGAAACTCTATACCTATTAAAACAACAACTCTCCATTCCCCTTGACCCCCAGCAACCACCGTTCCACTCATTGTCTCTACGATTTTTGGCTATTAAGTACCTCATATAAGTGGAGTAGCATATAATTTTTTCAAGAACATTGGAGGAGTAAGGAAGGGAAAAAGCATTTGAAGTTGGTTTCCATTGTTACAGTTATTATTCTTCCCATATAACCAAAGAGACAGACAAGAGTTGCTATCAGATGCTTATTCTCACTGGTAGAAATAATATAAGAATAATAAGAATATAGGCTCTACATGGCTTTTTTCAAAACCCTATGGGTGAAGTAGATGTTGAACTCCATTCAGACCTTGAAAGAGCCATACATTGTTGTGACCTGGGTGGTCTTGCCTCACTTCCAAAGGACAGATCCAGAAATAAACATCTTTATTTACCTGAAATCTTTAAGAGGCCCAAGTCTGGCCTGCTTTTGAGAGCCCTTTGCCTCTGGTGGTGTCACTGTTTTCTCTATCAGTTTGTGCTACTGCTGTGAAAACTATAGCTTTTTCCAACCTCCTTTTTACTCAAGGGATTTTTATTTCCAGGGGATTTATTGAGGCATGTCAATATTTGATGTGTAGACTACTAGATTTCATTTTATTTTCAGGTGTTTCTTGCGGCCGCATTCATATACCAGTTTTAGGAAGGCTTGGGACCTTTGAAACCCAGATTCTGCGAAGAGCTCCTCTTAGAACCTTTACAGAAACACCAGCATACTTTGCCTCAAAAGATGGGATAAGTAAAGATGGCTCTGGTGATGGAAATAAGGTAATTATTTTATCTTTATTTCACCTATACACATAGGTGAGTTCTCTCCTTTAAACAATTAAATATAGTAATAGTACTATGTATCCTGTTGGCTTATATGTTTTATGTAGGAAATATGAGATATATAAAATCAGCTGGAGAATTTTATGTAATTTTGTAGTTCAGTTTGAATCATAAAATACTTTTGTAAGTTGTGTATTAGTAAGCAAGAATTAAAATTTCTAACATCCCAAAATAGTAACGAGCTGTCATTAAATAATCTATGTAGTCAGTAGGGTTGAATTAGGTAGGAATAACTGTCATTTCCTGCTTTTGTACCATGCTTTTATTTTTTGTTTATTTCATTTTTGAGACAGAGTCTCACTCTGTTGCCCGGGATAGAGTGCTGTAGCGTCAGCCTAGCTCACAGCAACCTCAAACTCCTGGGCTCAAGTGATCCTCCTGCCTCAGCCTCCCGAGTAGCTGGGACTACAGGTGCTCACCACCATGCCCAGCTAATCTTTTTTTGTTTCTATTTTTAGTTGCCTGGCTAATTTTTTCTATTTTTAGTAGAGACGGGGTCTTGCTCTTGCTCGGGCTGGGCTTGAACTCCTGACCTCAAGCAATCCTCCTGCCTTGGCCTCCCAGAGTGCTAGGATTACAGGCGCGAGCCAACGTGCCCAGATTACAGCTCTTATAATTTATGATAGTATAAAGCCCACTTTATCTTCTACCTAAAAATCTTGGATTTCTGGTATAACTTAATGTTGGACTACTCTATAGCTAGCAAGTAGATGATTGGTGGTTATATTGGGTCAGTGACTTCTTACCAGTTTTTTTCATTATGTGAATTTGATTAACACTTGAGTTAATATTATAAGCTAGACAAAAGGCAAGGACTTTCATATACATACTTCATCCTAACAACAGCTCTCTGAAGTAGGTGAAATTATTCCCTTTTTAGAGGTGAGAAAAGTTAGACCTGAGACTGTTGTGTCACTACCTGCCATGATAATAACTCCTGATTTAATTTCATTGAAATGTAGTCTTTTGCCTTTAGTAACTTTTTTCCTATCATTCCTTGAGTCATTGAAAGAAAGCTATTTATTATACATACTGGCATATACCATGTAAAGGAAGACTACAGATAAATACACGTGTTTACTAGAACTGATTTGATTTTTGTGGTAAATCTTTTGACACCAGTGATAATAGATATAAACTATACTAATAACTTCGTTCTAGAAATTTTTTAAAAAGTACGATTAATTACAAACAATATTGTTTACATTTACGTTACATATAAAATGGTTGCCTGAAACTACTAATTGACACTCTCTTTTTCTCCTCTGCAAACATTAGAAATCAGTGAGTGAGGGAAGCAGTAAGAAATCAGGCTCTGGGAATTCTGGGAAAGGTGGGAACCAGCTGCGCTGTCCTAAATGTGGTGACTTGTGCACACATGTAGAGACCTTTGTATGTAAGTATTATTTCTAGTGTTCTTCTTTTTCCCTACCTTTTCTATAAATTATTAAATGTATAGAAATGTATAATTGTATAAATATATAATATACACATTTATACTTATATAAGTATATTTAAGTATATATAAGTATAAGTATATTTATACTTATAAGTATAAATACTTATATAAGTATAAATGTGTATATTATATTAATTATGTGAACTTACATGATTCTCTCTTATGTTCACCACATACTAAAAATAATTGCACTGTGGTATGAGAGATAATTTAAGAAAAATATTTGCTTCTTTATTTTGCTTACATGTGTTTATTTCAAATTTGGATTTTATGAGTTACGTATGATTATTGGGCTAAAAGAGAACCAAGATTTATTTATTCTATATTTTTTACTACATTCTTCAACTGCTTATTGAGCATCTTATATGGCTAGAAAGGTCAGTCATTCAAGTATTAAGATAATTTTCTTCTCTGAGTACTGACCAGAGGTGGTAAACATGCAATTCTGGGAAGGGTCTGATAATTATTAATGATTCAAAACTTAAGTAAAGGAAGAAATCAACTGTCCTACTTTTGCTGTTAGTGTCAGTAACTCTCTGAAATGTAAAGATGCTACTACAGATACTTTCTTTAATGAATCAAATAATTAAACTCATTGACTGTACAATTTGGAGTTAATGGTAATGACTCAAGGGTAAATTATATTGCACCATCATTTCAGCCTTCCTATATTATCCGGTTGTAAAAGGGCCAATGATCAAGAACTTTAGTTTCTGATCATTAGCTGGAGAGGATTCTCTGTATCCTAATGCTAATAACACTGAGACTTTAGTTGCAATTTCACCTTTACCATTAATATTAATTCGCCACCATATGAAAAAGTACTATTGTACTTTTGTAGCATGGTTTTATGTTTTGGAAAGACTTTTTTTTTTTTTTTTTTTGAGACAGAGTCTCACTCCGTTGCCCTGGCTAGAGTGAGTGCCGTGGCGTCAGCCTAGCTCACAGCAACCTCAGACTCCTGGGCTCAAGCAATCCTACTGCCTCAGCCTCCCGAGTAGCTGGGACTACAGGCATGCGCCACCATGCCCGGCTAATTTTTTTTTCTATATATTTTTAGCTGTCCAATTAATTTCTTTCTATTTTTGGTAGAGACGGGGTCTTTCTCTTGCTCAGGCTGGTCTCGAACTCCTGAGCTCAAACAATCCGCCCGCCTCGGCCTCCCAGAGTGCTAGGATTACAGGCGTGAGCCACCGCGCCCGGCCTGGAAAGACTTTTAAAGTAGCTCAATTCCATAGCTAGAATATTAGAGGTTCTCTTTATGGTTTTGCCTAGTAAAAAGTAAAAGAGAAGAATCAGTCTGAAGAAAATTTAATTTAAATCACAACATAAAATGAAAGTGATAGAACTGGATGATAAAACTTTCTAAACAAATTTGATGTGATACAATAAAATTCTAAGGAGTCTGAGAATTGTTCAGTTTATAAGGGCAATGTTATACATATTTTTTAATCAAGATATTTTCCTTTTTTTTCCCTCAGAGAAAGATTTCATCCTTTACAGACTTGAAGAATAATTTCTTAGAGCAGAAAAAGAAAGAAACTAACATTTAATAAATGCCAACATATTTAATTTTATTTTCACCACCTTATTTTTGTCAGGATAGGGAGTATTCTCATTTTTATAAAAGAAAAAGCTGAGACTTAGGTGGTTTAAGTAACTCATTCAAGGTCACATAGTAGTAAAGATTTGCTATTCAGAAATTCCTATCCCGTACATTTCTACCAACTAGAGATTCTGTAGGGATTAAATTTATTTTTCTTTTATGCAGTGTTTTCAAAATTTGACAGGTAGTATTAATCACTGAAGGTGACTGTTAAACATAGATTCCCAAGCTCCTTCCTTAGAGATTAATAAGATTCTAGAGATGTGGGGTAGATACGATTGCACCCCTGCACTCCAGCCTGGGTGACAGAGCGAGAACATGACCTCTTAAAAATAAACAACAACAACAACAAAAAACAGACCAAGTGTGAAAACCCTGTAATCAACTCAAGGCTGAGGCCTGTTTCTTTGGGAATTCTAATTGCGGTTGGGGATGTGGGAGTAGAAAATGTGGAAGGAAAGAGTAAGAGAAGGGTACATTTAGGTACAAAATTTAGTAAATAAACATCTGTTGATTTAGACACTGCTAGGCTCAGAAAATACACAGGTGAACATGACACTATCCCTGTCCTCTGGAGCTTTACTTGCAGGCCCCAGCAGTGCATGGAGCCTTTCTTCCCTTAATTTTGCCTACCCATAATAAAAGTCTCTGGAGCATCACTAATCAGAAAATCCAAAATCTAAAATGCTCTGAAATCCATAACTATTTGAGCACCAACAAGGAAATGCTTGTTGGAGCACTTTAGATTTTGGATTTTCAGATAGGGATGCTTAACTGGTATGTATTTCAGCAGATATTCTAAAATCCAAAAAAAAAATTGAAATCTGAAAGACTTCTGGTCCCAAGCATTTCAGATAAGGGCTACTCAACCGTATTTTGTTTATATTTACATTTATTTATTTTCTAGTTTATGAACATCTTATATGCTTTTTGGTCACTTGTAATTCTTTTGTGAATGGCCTGTTCAGGTAATTGTCCACTCTTGTCATTTTTAATTATCTTTAATTATTTGAGGAATGCATGTATATATCTTTATAAAAAAGAGTAGAACTTTATAGATAAAGCTACAGTTCCTATAGTATATCTTCATTGAACATACGACTTTTTAAAAAGTGTAAATAATATATTCGTATTTTTGCAAATTGCTTTTTTTCAATAAGCAAAATTTTGAAAGCTAGGTATGTTAATACAGTTGACCCTGGAACAACAAGGGTTTGAACTGCGTAGGTCCACTTATATGTAGCTTGTATTCAACCAAACGCAGATGACCTGCATATATGGAGAGCCAATTTTTTGTATATGCAGGTTCTGCAGGGCCAACTGCAGGACCTGAGTATGTGTGGATTTGATGACAGGAGGGCAGTGCTGCAACCAGTCTTTCATGTATACTGAGGGACGACTGTACATATGGACTTAGTCCTTCCCTTTTTAAAATTTATTTTTATTAAGATATCATTCACATACCATACAATTCACCCTCAGTGATTTTAGTGTATGTACCAAGTTGTTTAATCATCTCCACTATTTCCAGAACATTTTTCATCACTGCAGAAAGAAACCCCATAGCCCTTAGTCACTCTCCACCTTTCTCTCCTCTTAGGCCTGGCAGCCATTAATATCTTTCCATCTGTATAGATTTGTCTGTTCTAGATATTTCATATAATGGAATTATATAATGTGTGGCATTTTGTATCTAGCTTCTTTCACATAGCATGTTTTCAAGGTTTATCTGTGTTATGGCATGTATCAGTATTTCATTGCTTTTTATGGCTGAATAATGTTCCATTGTTTGATGGACATTTGGATTGTTTCTACTTGTTCGCTGCAGTAATGCTGCTGTGAACGTTGTGTACAAGCATTTGTGTAGATGTACATTTTAATTCTCTTGGTTGTATAATAAGGATTAGAATTGCTGGGTCATATGGTAACTCTGTTTAGTTTTTATAGAATTGCCAAGCTGTTTCCCATGGCAGCTATACTATTTTAAAATTGAAAATGTATGAGGGGCCAGGTGCAGTGGATCATGTGCATAATCCTAGCACTCTGGGAGGCGGAGGTGGGAGGATCGCTTGAGGTTAGGAGTTCAAGACCAGACTGAGGAAGAACGAGACCCCGTCTCTACTAAAAATAGAAAAATTAGCTGGGCACAGTGGCACACTCCTGTAGTCCCAGCTACTCTGGAGGCTGAGGATCGCATGAGCCCAGGAGTTTGAGGTTGCAGTGAGCTATGATGATGCCACTGCCTTCTACCTGGGGTGGCAGAGCGAGACTCTGTCTCAAAAAAAAAAAAAAAAGAAAGAAAGAAAATGTGTGAGGGTTCCCAGTTCTCCACATTCTCTTTTACCACTTATGTATTTTATTCATAGTGGATGTGAAGTGGTATCTCATTGTAGTATCTCATTTGCATTTATTTTCCTGATGACTAATGATGTTGAACATCTTTTCATATGCTTGTTGGCCATGTGTATATCTTCTTTGGAGAAATGTCTGTTTAAATCCTGTGTCCATTTTTAAATTGAGTTACCTTTTTATTGTTGAGTTGGAAAGTTCTTTGTTTTCCACATACACAATTCGCAAATATTATCTCTCTCTCTGTGGATAGTTCTTTCCTTTTAAATGTTGTGTAGCAGGAGTTATCTAACTTTTACTATAAAAGGCAAAATAGCAAGTATTTTAGACTTTGTGGGCCATATGGTCTCTGTTGTAACTATTCTGCTCTGCAGCAGCAGTCATAGAGAATGTAAGTGAATAAGCGTGGATGTGTTCCAATAAAACTTTGTATGTGGACACTGAGATTTGAATTTCATATAACTTTCATTGTCACGGTTTTTTCCCTATTTAAAAATATAAAACTATTCTTAGCTTTACCAGATCAGATCAGACTTAGTAAAAACAAAATAAAGCAAAAAAACCCTATTAGCTCATAGGCTCTGCTATATAGCATTCCATCTTGCAAGTAAGTATGTATGTAGTGATTTTGTTTTCTTAGGGTACTTTTGATTGACTTTGTGGAAATAAAATACCATTTTTATAGGTACCATTATAAATGTATAGAAAATCATCAGAAATTGGGGAAATAAGAGTAATACTAAGAAATTTTTTATTGTAAGGACTTATATAGTATATATTGTTCTTTAGTTTTCTTTGCCCACTTAAAACAATAACTTGCCAAATATGAATAGTCTATTTTTATTTATGGTAGAGCCTTTAGTTATTTTTATTTTTATGTATGTAATACTTAAAAAAAATTTTTTTTTTGAGACAGAGCCTCACTTTGTTGCCCGAGCTAGAGTCCAGTGGCATCAGCCTAGCTCACAGCAACCTCAAACTC